TACTGAGTAGACATTTCCTACAACCACAAAAGGACAAGAGGATAGAATACATATTTCCAGGTCCCCAAGAGGAGGAGACCCACAGTTAAGGTATTGCGGGCGCATCCAAGAGAACTACCAAAGTACATTGAGGAGCATATCACCCATTGTGCCGCAAGCCACAGGTGGTCCCTGTAGCTGCCTCTTTCGCACTAAAATCGGTGAGGGGACAGAAGCCAGCTGCTGACGACTCCAGGAAGAGCCAAAAGGGGTGGGGGTGAACAAGAATTGTGAAAGGTGCGTGGCCGCATGAAGTGTGGGAGAACAACCCATGTCGTAGTGCAGGGGTTTGAGTGAGACAAGTGGTGGGCCTAGTTGGGATGGCGCATCGGTCGGCAAGAGCCTCGCCAGCCATTCGAAGGCGATAATGCCTGGTGCGAAGTCTTGATTGCATCATTCTCATTATCCACAGTAGTAATTGCTTTTTCTGCTTTCCTTTTCGGCTGGCCGACCCCTCATGTAACCACGAGGTAGTTCCTGAGTACCTCTAGGCACGGACTATCCAGTCGCCGGGCCAGTCATGTCGCAAGTCGCCATCGCAGTGCGCGGGTTCGTGAGCTGTGGTAAACGGAGACATGGGGTATCTGATGGGAATTCTTTGCTGGCCCAAGCGGTGCTGACCCTAGACTACCGCGGTGCAAAAGATCCGGCAATTCAGGGTTTGGGCATTTGCGAGACCCATGTTGACGGCAAGCCAAGGACACAGTCCACTTTGGGGTTCCAACGGACGCGACGCAAGGGACGAATAAATAAACTTGCAAAGTTTGTGTTTGTTCGATCTCAATCCGGTCTTCCAGTGGCTTGTACTCTGCTTATTAGGTTGGCACCCCAGGATTTTGCGAGAGCACGCGGCTTAAACGCTTCAGGATCTTGACCAATGACCCCGGAAACGCCTCGTGTCTTTCGTCGTACAGTGCATTTGACAGAAGCCACTATCCCTTTCGTTGAATCACGCGGATCGCAAAAGATTGGCCCTCTAGCACTGGGGCTATCTAAGGTCGCCTGACGAGAAATATGTCAGCTGTAGACGCAGCTAGTAGTGGGTTGATAAATCGGCGAGGATACCAGTGGAACAAAGCCCATGATCGACGGGCCTGTCCTTGGCCCAGGGACGGGACGAAGAACGGGAAGAACGGGCATGACGGGCGCCGCCCACCCCAGGTGACGCGCCCGGGAAGAACCTCGCGGTAGAGGTCGGCGGACGAGCCTCGCTAGGGTGTATCCGTGCCTTCCTAGACCAAAGTAGGGGCTCTAATAAGGGGCCTTGAGATAGGCTAAGCGGGAGGGTGACGGCCGCAGCCGCCGAGCGAGCGTCCGTCGGGGTTCCTCGCTCGCTTCAGCCTGGCTCTTGACCAGCGAGCTGCTTTGGTCGAGTCTCGTGTGCAAGCAAACCTGTGGGCTACTGGGCGCGAGAAAGTTGCCGGCGTCGGCATCGGTCTCGGAACGGCCAACGAGACCGAAGAAGGCAAACGATAGCGGGATGACGAACAGTCAATTTCTGAGCCACCTTCGTTAGGTAGGTAAGGTAGCTACAAATCAGGGATGGGCCTACAATCCTGCTGCCCTGACGCAAAGTTGACAAGCGGAAGAATAATTTCTGCACCGGACGTCTCGCGACTGCATCGAAGAGCGTCGGACCACACATATGTGGTTTTGATATTTGGGCAAAAAGGCCCAAAAAGGGCTGAACCAACGGGCGATGGCCTCATGGCCGTGTAGATCCTCAAAGCCCACGCCCAAGCTGTATGTCTGAGTTGCGTGAAGGTGACTCTCCTGTAGGTAGGTAAGGTACGGTA